ATGAATTTTCTTAATACATAAGCATTCATTCATTTCAGGTGATGCACAATAGGCCATATTATAGTCACATCTTTATCAAGGGATCCCTTAGCCTAATAATCTTAATAATGTTCTCATGATACATAGGGAGCAAGGTCACTCACAGCGGTGTGGGCTAAGGCAAGGCGATAATGACAAAATTACCTCACCTAGTCAGCCATTAGGACAGTTAGTCAAAGTTGCGACTGCATTAGTGAACTATGCTAGCTACAAAAACAACTTGTAAACTATTGTGAAAGTCTTCACATGATGCAGACTGTACTTAAAATTAAATAATAATAATAATAATAATAATCCTTATTTGTAGAGCACTTTTCAAAAACAAGTTACAAAGTGCTTTAACAAGTGTAAAGAATAATACAAAAAAACAAGATAAGAGCATGAAAACATTGAAAAGACTAAAATACAGATTAATATAAAATTAGTAAAATACAATAAAATAAAAGGGATAAAATAAAGTCAAATAAGATCGGGAAAGGCTCTCCTACAAAAGTATGTTTTAAGAAGGGACTTAAAATAGTTCACTGACTCTAAAATGTGTGTTCATCAGCATAAAGGCTGTTGCGCACATTATACTGAAACATCTAAATCAAATCCACTTTCTCCCTGTTAGGAGGAGTCAATGCAAAACTCAGATGTCTTCCACCTCTACTTATCTGACTGCAGAGAGGATGAGAGAGAACAGTGGACACACAGTTTAACATGATGGACTATAGGACAGGACTGCTGCTTTTAACTGTCTGCTGGGCAGGTGAAGATCTTCACTGAACTTAATTATTACATATATTTTATTGATGTCAGCAGCTTATTTCACTGTGTGCAATTTTATCTTCTAAACAGGTGTTGATGGTCAGACTCTTACAGAATCTGAACCAGCGGTTAAACGGCCTGGAGAATCCCACAGATTGACCTGTACAACCTCTGGATTGTCATTCAGCAGCTACTGGATGGCCTGGATCAGACAGGCTCCTGGAAAAGGACTGGAGTGGATCGCCATCATTGAATATGATAATGCCAGGATATACTACTCTCAGTCAGTTCAAGGCCGGTTTACCATCTCCAGAGACAACAGCAAAGAGCAGCTGTATCTGCAGATGAACAGTCTGAAGACTGAAGATTCTGCTGTTTATTATTGTGCTCGAGAGCCACAGTGACTGGAGTTGGTTGAGCAGCTGTACAAAAACCTACAGGACTCATCTTTACTATGCTCATCCTGAGAAAGACTTATGTTTTGATTTAAACTTTTGTTGTCGTTGTTTTTAATTAAATTAAAATTAATGAAAATTGTCCCTGAGAAAGATCATCATTAATCAACAATCAAGTTACTTAACTACACTTACACTTCAACTTCTTTGGTGAAATTAACAGGACAGAATTTGCAGCCTGAGGACACAGCTGTGTATTATTGTGTATGTGGCTCCACAGTGACACAAACCATCAACAGACCTGCGCAAATACTCCCTGTGATTAAACCAGACATTTTAGAGAGATCATTGAGACTTCAACTTAACAGTCTACAGACAGCCCTCATTTGTATTTTTGGATTATTTCATAAAACTATACAAAAAAATAATGGGCTCCCGTCTATGGATGTGAAATTGTTTTACAAGGAAGGAAAAGCAACTTTTTTTAAACGAACTAATGATGAATGCTACAATTCAATGAAACTAGAACAGACTGCCTGTGAGCCCCTCCCTCCACATGATATCCTGATGCAAATCTTTTCTGTGCAGTGTACTTCTGTCCTGCTCTTGTACCTTGTGAGGAGCATCAGAGGTCTCATCTTTAACCTCATTATGATAAACACAATCACTATTTATGTAATTAACTGATAGTAATTACATACTGATATTAAGAGCAGTATGACAGAGCACCTAACACACACACACACACACACACACACACACACACACACAAACAGACATTATTGTAGCACCAGCTTATGTTGGACTATGGTTTTTACTGAAGATCTGTTCTTCAACAGCCAAGTGATGGTTGATAATGTTTCTGTTAATGTGCAGCAGCTGTGACTTTATTATTTCAAAACTGACACACACAATATGTCCATCATAGCAATGGTCAACAAAATGCTACTGAACTGAGTGCCTGGCTGATCTAAACATGGATTAAATAAAAGTTAGCAGAATAAGTTGAGGAACATCGTTTAAAAAAAAACATTTTCAAAATAATAATAAAAACAAGTGTTTTGCTCTTTGAGGAGGAGGCGATGCAAAACTCTGATCTCTTCTACCTCTATGTATGTGTTGCAGAGTGAAGGACAGGCTAAATCACTGCAGAGTGGACAAAGACAACTGGCTTTTACAATGATCAGACCTGATTATTTTTTGTTTTTCTCATCCTGTTTATTAACTGGGCAGGTAAGAACAATGAAACTCTTTACTGAAAACCTGCTGATTTATTTCCTCTTAAGTCTTCAAGTTTGTCTGCATGTCTGTGGATTCCAACAGCCACAATTCAAATTCTGAAAACTTTAAAAGTCTAAAAACAATCCAGGCCTTCAAACACCTGCAGGAAACTCAAGTATTAATTTAGGTTATCTTGTCTGTCAAGATTCCCAGTTGTGACTAACTGGCAGGGAGTCCCAGCAATTTAACTACTGTGGGGTTGTTGATTGGTATACCGATGCCATAAATAAGCTATTCAAATATACATTTTTGGTATGGTTTGTTTTGGTAATATATATCTATTATGAAATCAAGGCTTTGACAAGGCTCAGTACAGTAGTAATTAAAAGTGACATTGAAGAGCTGAACCACAGCAGCTTATCTTAAGACGTGGAAGTGTTTTTATCCTGTAAATAGTAAAAATACAAAGTTTATAATAACTTCAGCTTCAACATCGATGTGTTCTCTGTAGCTCTGAGACTGCTGCTGGCAATCGGATCCTGTGTGGTACTTTCTGAAGATTGTCATTGTACAATAAGGAAGTTTTGTTCCCTGCAGTTAGTCAAGAAATGAGTTGTCAGGAATTTGATAGTTTCCTCTGCTACTTTAGACATTCTCTACTTATGGAAATGTTTCTGTGTCACATGTTCCCTTTTTAGGTCTATGCAAACTCTTCCTCTCTTATAAACACACCATCAGCAAGAACACTGGGACAGTTTTATATATTTCTGAAACACTCAGATCAGAGAGCTGAACTACAGTTTTTATCACAGAATGGACAATACAATTATCTGGAGTTTATTATTTGTAGTTACTATTCATGGTGAGAAATCATTTCTGCTTTACTTCTTTTGTAAATGTCCAACCTGTGATTTACAAGTTTGTTGGATAATGATCAGAATTTTTTCTTATAGGAGTTTGGAGTGAGATCAAACTGGACCAGTCTCCCTCTGAGGTGAAAAGACCTGGAGAGACAGTGAAGATGTCATGTGTCATATCTGGTTATAGCATGACAAGCTACAATATTAACTGGGTACGACAGAGGCCAGGGAAAGCTCTGGAGTGGATTGGGTGGATGAACACAGGTTCAAACTCTGCTAGCTATGCCAGCTCCTTTCAAAGCCGTTTCATCATGACTGAAAATGTGCCCAGCAGCACTCAGTACCTCGAGGTCAAGAGCCTGACAGCAGAAGATTCTGCTGTTTACTTCTGTGCTCGAGAAAGCACAGTGACTGAAGACAGTGGAGCAGCTGCACAAAAACCTCCACAGACAACAAACAGCAATGTGATAGTAATGAAGTCTCGGTTTACTCAACATAATCTTGTTTACAAGGTTCTTTGATTTTGTATAACTTACAGATATATATTTAATCAGCCATGTTAATGTCTTTTTCATTGTCTTCATGTTGTTAGTCAATTCAATTCAAACGTCATCTGTGACGAACTGGCTTTCAATATTGTGTGGCACATTTACAAGCAGAAAACTGATCAACAAGAAAATGGTCATTGTTTTGGTTCTGACTTTCAGAAAGACGTCTTGCCACTGCATCTGCAGTGGATTCATTTATTGATTATCAAACTAGCCTAAACACTGCTGTAAACACTGCTGCAAATATAATATAACTACATCCAATTGTCTCTTTTCTCCTCCAGGAGACCAGACTGCTAAAACTACAGTAGGCACAATAGTTAATTTATTGTCTCAGTCTATTGACTAACTGGCTCCAGGGTGGTAATGACCTAAAGACCGTAATTACCAGAAAGGGGGAAATCCCCCCAAATCGTCTTTTAAATAACTGCCTACCCAATTGAACACTACCCCCCTTATCCCAAGCCGCTCCAGTTTCTTGATTAATATTTCATGATTTATTGTCTGAAATACTTTTTTGAAATCAATGAATTCCCCAACTGCATATTTCTCATTTCTCATATTTCTCTCTTATTTGCGGCTAATATTCGAACATGAACTGGACATGATTCCTTAAGATTAAATTACTACTAATAAATGTGTAGCACCATAGCCTTAATGGAGATACTAACTAACCGAATAAAATGATTATTATTATTATGCTAATATTAATAAGCATTTTAAAAAATGAAATCTGATTCAAAATGTTTGAATGAGTTAAATAAAGCTGGTGTAGGCAATATATTTCACAATAATTTTTGTTATATTTGTTGACCTTCTCTTTAAATCAAATCCCTTGACACAAAAATGAAAAACAAAATCTGTATCTGTGGCTGTTGTAGGACTGTAATGAACCATTTGGTATGAATGTAATGACTGTGTCTGCCTACCTGCACCTACTCTGCCTGTGCACTCATTTAATGTAAAAATGTGTTTTGGTGGAGTGTCTTTGGCGGAAGGCCTGATGGGTGTTGTCTAGTTGTCTCTTGCTGGTTTCTCCAATGTTGCCTACCCCAGCTTTTACATAACCATAACTCTAAATCAAATTTATCTCCTCCCTGTGAGGAGGAGTCAATGCAAAACACAGATGTCTTCCACCTCTACTTATCTTACTGCAGAGAGGATGACAGAGAACAGTGGACACACAGTTTAACATGATGGACTATAGGACAGGACTGCTGCTTTTAACTGTCTGCTGGGCAGGTGAAGATCTTCACTGATCTTTATTTAATGTTTTTTAATGTGTCAGTTTGTTGCATGTGATGGTTTTTGCTCTTTGCTGCATTAACAGGTGTTGATGGTCAGACTCTGACAGAATCTGAACCAGTGGTTAAAAGGCCTGGAGAATCCCACAGATTGACCTGTACATATTCAGGTTTTAGTAGCCATTTCTGGAACGCTTGGATCAGACAGGCTGCTGGAAAGGGACTGGAGTGGCTTGCTACTATCAGTGATAGCAGTGGCAGCATCTACTACTCTCAGTCCGTCAAAGGCCGGTTTACCATCTCCAGAGACAACAGCAGACAGCAGGTGTATCTGCAGATGAACAGTCTGAAAACTGAAGATTCTGCTGTTTATTATTGTGCTCGACACTCACAGTGACTGGAGTTGGATGAGCAGCTGTACAAAAACCTACAGTACTCATCTTTACTGTGCTGAGAAATACTTTTGTTTTAGTTTTAACCTTTGTTGTTGTCGTTTTTAATAAAAATAGAGAAAGATCATCATTAACCAACAACAATAAACACATGTAGCAGATCTAGGCTATGTAAAATTTTTATACAGTTATGAAAATTAATATTTCCGGGAATATTAATTTATGCCTCGAAATTAGGAGCACCAAGATTTGCTTGTCCGCCCAAGGCTTTAGGTCCTTGAGTATAGCCTGAGAATTACACGAATTTCTGGTAATTCATTAGTTGTTAATGGTTCAGTTATTCTAAAATTGTAAACTCTAGTCAATCAGTCAGTCTCAAATCTGAGGATAAGTTCTATGTATAGGGACTCTAGATTCTTCATAATACACACACAACATCACTGTGCTCAAGGTGAATTTATTAACTAACAGAAGAGAGTACAGTAGTGGGTAAATGTGGTTATATTACAGGGACAACAGTCAATATGACAACCAGGAAGTAATGAACTGGGTGGCCTATGTAAGGCTCGATTGAATTTCAGTTTATATTGTAGAGGGAGAGAATTCTACGAGTATGAGGGAACGAATGACCGAAATTAGGTTGCAGATTTAGTTTGACTGATCTAGGGGTTTATTAACTGTGGATGGCCTGACCCCAGTGGCGTTTCCGAGTTGAGTTCGAAACCAGTGGATTTGGGTCCGGAGTCCTCTTGTGGGAAGCTCTTGCAGCAACGGGCCGTCAGCCGAGGCTTTTACTCTGATCTCAGTTCGTTTGGTGTCGCTATAGCGGAGCCAACTCAGGGTTCTGTCGTCAGAGCTGTGGTTTCATTCATTCAAGGCCATAAATGAAGGCTTCTGAGTTTCTGGTCCAAAGTTGTTCAAAACGATCGGATGAGGTTGCAACAACAGAATCAAATAAACTCACAGACTCGCCGTAGGTTCGCAAGGCCTCTGGAATATAGGCTATTTAATGTTGCTGAGATTAAACAGGTCTGGGGAAAGTTTCACCCAGGCAGCTCCAAACAAAAATCAAAAATCAAATCTCCCGCTAAGAAAATTGGGATTCAGGGCCGTAGCTTTCTCAGCTCGTACGAAACGAAAAAGATCAGAATTTCAAAAAGTAAAGGAAGTTAAGAGAGGGTGTACGTTTAGTTTCAAGAGAGTTTTTTTTTAGAAGAGAAGTGCAAGACAAAAGACAGCAAGGCCTTTTATTTGACTTCCCTAGGTAGTTGTGACGTCAATTTTGGAGTGGATTTCAGGGGAAGTCCCTAAGGTGTTAACTTTTTGGGATAAAGAAATATACGTATTTCCCTTTAATCTCTCTTTCCACAATATCAACATTTGGAAAAATACTTAGTTCTAAACATTCGGATAAAGACAATTAAAACAAGGCTAAACACTATGGAAAAAGGTTATAATGGTTATATAAACCGTAACAAAGCTTAATTACCTGTCCTCAGTATACTTGCTGGTTACTGGTTTTAACTCAAGAGACAATTAAGATGTAAGCGTGGCAGCAAAATTTCGTTTATGCAATTACATGGTGATAGTTAGGCCTACTTAGCGATCATTGTCAGTGTAAGCCGAGTTTTAAACACTTGCGTGTTATACCTTTCCTGTCCCCTTGGTGGCGCTCAGGTCACACGAGAAAACAGTAGACATTCCACTTGTGAGATTTACCACTTTAACTGAGAGGCTAGTGATACACACAGGCGTATCAATGGATATTTTAGTAGGAAATTGTATATGAAACATTTAACTAAAGCATTAGTTAATACTGAACAGACAGTGATTATTAGGGAGTAACAGGGATGAATTAAGACAAAACAGAAAGAGGTTAGGGAACTTCTTCAAGATTACTTTCTTATGGGTCTGCTAGTTTTCAAACATCACTAAAAGGATAACAACAGGGTCATTACTTACTAAACTCAGAGGCAAACACCGCTGCTCACTTAACAAGGTTATTATTTAAACAGAATAAACACAGTTATAATGGAACCTTGCTTGGTTCGAGAAACAGGGGTTGTTATGGTCTCTTTTCTCTGCATTCCTGGCTTATCACGCCGGTTATCAGAGAATGAAATGGTGGTTTATGGCTCAGCTGTTCTGTGAAGAGAAAAGAGTCAGGTTGAGGCCGGATGTGACCTGCTGGAGGGAGAAGGGGTCAGATCGCCCCCCTTTCCTGTTCTGTTGACTGTCTTTTGGTGACACCTTTACGGCTAGAAAGGTTCACTAAGGCTCTTTGAAATACACAGTCCTTAAGCGATGCATTGTCTGATTGAGTCTCTTTCGGTCCTTACCAAACACCAGGCGATGTCTCTGGTTTTTGCATGTGAAAAGGTCAACTCTCGGGAGGAAAATTCCCTCCCTCTTTTGACACCATCTGAACTTCTTTGAAGTGCGTTTGGTTGAGTTCACAACACACAAATAAAAATGTGTTACTATGAAGACCACCTCCTCATAAAACAACCAATAACAGCAAAACAATCTGCTGAAATAATTTTAAAGACATTTTTAAGGAATAAAATACACACTACATTTTCACATGCCAGTCACATTCATGTTTAAATGATTTGACCTCTACAGACGGTCACATTGTGGGAGTGAAAATGTTGCAGTTCCTAATTAAAAAACACTAGAGGGTAGTCAGTGTCAAGTTTCTCTCTTAACTAGATTTTTTAACTCTCACCCTTTGTGAGCTTTCTTCATCACAACACTAATAGAACATTTTAAATGCTGGATCAGCAGCGACTGCAGCTTCATGTGTTCATTTAGTTAGAATTCACCATCTTCAACTGATTTCAAGATAAACAGCTGGAAGACAGAAGGAGCTGCAGTTTCTTCTTATGATTTGAGAATTTCTGATAAAAACTGAAAGAACAGATGACACTGCAATAAGAAATCTGTCTTCCTTTCTCATATTTTCCTTTTATTTGCCTTAATTCACTTGTAAAAATGTTCTTCTTATAACTACACCCACATTCTTAGTCTGTCGCACAAATACACTCTGGTGAAAAACTCACCCAAAAAAGGTTAATAACACACATCTCTGTTTCTGTCTCTCGGTTTTTTTTGACAGATTCAGTCTTTGTGTATCAACACTGTATCTCCACAATCTCAGACAGGCAAAATGCAAATTCACACACGGATGCACAGTCCCCACCCATTCTGCCTGCACAATATATATCCTTCATATCATGTGTTTGCAGTTGCAAAGTTTCCACCATGACAGTTGTACAAAGTTTCCTACTCTTGGCTCTCATTTCAGGTGAGTAAAGTCGGTGTCCAGCGGAGGAGAAAAGGAGCTTTGGATGTTTGCTGGCTACCCGTCAACTAAACTCTGTGTCTCTTTCAGCTGCTCAGGGCCAGTCCCTCACCTCCTCAGAGCCAGTGGTCAGCAGAGCTGGAGAACCAGTCACTCTGTCCTGTAAAGTGCAAGGTCTTCCTCTGGCTTGGCTGCACTGGATTCGTCAGAAACCAGGGAAAGGACTGGAATGGATCGGACGCATTGATGGTGGAACTGGCACAATATTTGCCCAAAGTCTCCAAGGGCAGTTTTCCATCACCAAAGACACGTCCAAAAACCTTGTGTACTTAGAGGTGAAGAGTCTGAAACAAGAAGACTCTGCTGTTTATTATTGTGCACGAGAGCCACAGTGACACACCAGACTACAAAGCTCTACAAAAACTGAACAACACTCATTTCTGTATGAGAACCACTGAAGCATGTCAGAGCTTTGAAAACACATTTCCCTTTGAATGATGGCCAAATAACCATGAAACACACTTCATTAATACAAATGTATTTGTCAGTTTTGTGGGACAGTTTTTAATGACTCACAGCAACACCTGCATTTAAAAGAAGACATCCTTACTGTAATTGTAATTGTAACATAATTCACATAGAGTGAAAAGATCTGTATCATACAATATTCAGTTTTTCTAACATACTAACTAACACATGACATAATTTTTTACAATAATTCAAATCCGTGCAGCGCCATTTGCTAAATAAATTATCTAGATGCTAACATTTAAATCCAAATGAGATCAAAAAATATGTTCTTTAAATAAAAAAATATTTATCAAACTAGTCTGGCCAATCAAGAAGACACACCGTTTACATCTTCAACTGATTTCAATAAATTGTAAAAGATTCTTCAACAGTATGCAAATACATGTCACTCTTAAGGAAGTGAAGTGTGTGTGTGTGTCAGTGAGAGGACAGAAGAGCTCATATCAGTTCAGCTTCAACATCAACATGTTCTCTGCAGCTCTGATACTGCTGCTGGCAGCTGGATCCTGTGAGGAGCTTTCAGTGGATTCACACTAATAAACACATTAGAAACACTGAATAGTCAGATGAATGATGGAGATAATGTTGATTTCTGTTTCCACAGGTGTGAACAGTATTGATCTCATCCAGCCAGACGCGATGGTTGTGCAGCCTGGACAGTCTTTGTCCATCACCTGTCAGGTCTCTGGTTATTCTTTGACTGATAACAACTATGCAACAGGTTGGATCAGACAGTGTGAAGGAAAACCAATGGACTGGATTTTTCATCAGTGGGGAGGAGGTACCCTTCGTCAAAATGATGCTCTGAAGAACAAGTTCAGCTACAGCAGAGACACTTCTGCTGGAACAGTGACTATAAAAGCAAATAATCTGCAGCCTGAAGACACAGCTGTGTATTACTGTGTACGTCAGCCCACAATGATACAAACCACCAACAGACCTGCACAAATACTCAGCAACTTGCAAGAGAATGTGTCCTACTCATGTTAACAGGACATGAGCAGTTCCTTCCTGAAAGTAGTTTGCATACAAAATATGAAGTTAAAATACATTTAACACCATATTTAATTGTTGCGTTATGTGTTTTTGTAGGTTTTAGAGAAGATGAAGACATTTGTTTCAGTTTTTTTGCACAAAATGAAAATATTTTCCTTTATCCATAATCTATGTTAATATTCACGTTAA